CAAAACCAGCAGGCCCGGGGGAGAGATGGGGGAAGAAGGGCGGCGGGTCCAGCGGTTGCTGAGGCTGAAGCTCCGGCTCCTCCTCCTCCCGCGGCGGCGACTGGTACCTTTGTTTGGCGGCCGCTCGGGCTCCCTCGTTGGGGGGAGGGGGGACGACGAAAAATCCCTCCTGGACTGAAGGTCCGGGCCCCCAGTCGCGCTGCCCTCCAGAGGACGGCGGCGACAGACCCTCTGCGGTTCCCTCCGGGCAAAGGTCCAGGCGGTGGCCGTGGCGGCAGCAAGCTTAAGCTCAAGAGACTCCCTCCGCTCCAGCACCCGAGCTCCTCACTCCGGACTCGACTGACGGGCAAACATCGCTTCCCCCCCACCCCAGGTCCCCCCCTTCCCTCTTTTCTCCCCTCCCCTAGATTTTTTTCCCCTCCCCTACCTCTTTCCCGGATGGCCTCTTAGACGACCTCGGATTGGTTAGAGTTCTGTAGAACCCGCCTATGCCCTGTTCTTATTGGTTTCCGGGATACAAACAACGACGCCATTTTCCCACCAGTTCTATGGAAACAGAAAGTTACGCCTCAAAGCTTCCCGGGAAATGTAGTCCAGCCTGTGGGGCCAATGCGCAAGCTCTTGCCCATGAGAACTGCAAGACCCGCAATGCCCCGCGCCTGCGCCAGCCCGGAGCGGGGAGGGAGAGGGGGCGGGGCGACAAAGCGGCTAGGAGGCGGCAACGACGCCTGCGCAGTGTGACAGGGATGGCGCATTTTCTTGCACCGAGTAATGCGGCGTCACTGGTGCCTGAGGAGGGCGGAGAGTTCTGTGGTGAAGCCGGGGGTGGGATTCATGTAGGCACCAGCGAGAGCCTTGGTCTGAACTATAAAGTGGGAAGTTGATGCTGGGTACTGCTACACCCGGACCGGCGATTTGCAAGTTGTGATATCATCGTCGAAGCGTGAGTGGCTGTGGTGGCAACTAGGGGGAACCCGGATGGGGAGGTGGGGGACGCTGGGAGGCGGAGCCGGGAGGAAAGAAAGAAAGGAGGGTGAGGACCCGGATGCTGAACCGGATTGTGTATGGATTTTCTATCCTCTCGCTGGAGGAGGGGAGGAGCGGTAGGTGACCAAGTGGGGCGGAAGGGGGCCTCCGAGCGGAGAGGAACCAGGAACCTTGCCGACTCTGCGGGCTCCGTGCTGACAGAGTAGACGTTTGAAGCTCTTCTGCCAAGCCCCTATGGAAAATCGGCCTCGAAGTTATTTAAATCCCCTGCCTGTACCTCTCAGGCGGTTTTCTTCGGACCCATCATCTTCCCGAGTTTGAGTAGGAGTCACTCCGCACTTACATTCGTATGTCTCTACTTAGCAATTCTGAAACCAGACCCTTGCCTTACAAAAAAAACTGCATGACGTTTTCACTTTTTATCTGCAAGTGTGTGCCCTGGTTTCATTCTCTGGCGCGTTAGAAGGCACTTTCCGTTCGTTCGTTCATTCAGTCCCTCACTTATTTATGAAGCGCCTGCCATGTGGAAAACTGGTTCGGCCCCTGCCTTCGTGGACCTAAGTCTAGTGAGACAGACAGATATTAACTAAAATGGACACAGAAGTGGGTGTGAAATTGCAACTGTGGTGAGTGCTGCAAAGGAGAGGAACATGGTGAGAGGAGAATTTGAAATAGGGAATTTGGCTTAGGGAGATAAGGGAAGGCTGTCCCGAGCAAGTGAGGATCGAGCTGAGAGCGGAAGGGTTAGCAGGAGTTCACTAAGGAAAGAGCATTCCAGACGGAAAGAGTAACAAAACATGTTGGAAAGCCTTGTGCCAAGAGGGACCTTTTAAAGTATGAGGAACTGAGGCTGGAGAGGGGCAGGGGGGCGCGCCAAAACCTTATGTGCTTTGTTAAGGGGTTTAGTTTTATCTAAGAACAGTGAGATGTCTTCGAAGAGTTCTCAGTCGGAAGCGAGATAGGACCGGATTTGAATTTCGCGAAGATCACTGGCTGAAGAGTAGAGGACTAGATGAGAGAGGCGAATGCAGCAGGGAGGTTATTGCAGTAGTAGTCTACACCGAGGAGAGAATCTATTTTTGTATTAGTATTCATCCATCCATTGTTCGAACAAATTTAAGGCAGCTTTCCAGTTTGAAAGTGAGTAGCTTCGCACTCTCACAGAGGCATTCTGTAGTTGTTATTAAATCTAAAAATAAATGAGTAGAGTTCATGTAACACACTAATGCCTCTTTACATTTAAGTCTGGTACATGACAGCTGAAATTTCCAGCTGTGATAAGTTGGAGTCTTTTGAGTTTAAAAAAAATAAAAAGATCAGAGTATTTGCCACAGTGTGCAGAACTCCTTAGACTTAAGAAGAGGAAACATATTGGTTTTAAATACCTAGAAAAATTGAGAATCCTTTGTTTTCCTACTGCTGAGAATATTTGTGTATAAACATCCTCTGGGAAAGGAGCATTAATTGACTTATTTGTTAAGTGAGTATTCTTAAACTTACCTGAGTAAGCAAAGGAAACAATAATTTTTAAAAATTCAAAGCTAATATGTTAAGTGGAAAAATAACATCAGGAGCCAGCCCGGTGGCATAGGGGTTAAGTTCACAGGCTCTGCTTCAGCAGCCTGGGGTTCGCAGTTCCAATCCCAAGTGCAGATCTGTGGACCACTGATCAAGCCATGCTGTGGTGATGTCCCGCCTGCAAAATGCAGGAAGATGGGCACAGATATTAGCTCAGGGCTAATCTTACTCAGCAAAAAAAAAGATAACATCAACCAAAGTGCTAAGGATTGAAACAAAGGTTAACTCTGATTTCCATGCAACAGAGTATACTTGTTAGTGATCCAGAGAGAGACTAGAGAGAATTCTTGAAAGTTGGTCTCATTGATTTTTAAGTTAAATCAGATGTGTTCTGGAGGCTGTGAAAAAGATAAAGATGATTTTTGCTCTCAACCTAGTTGGCAAGAGATGGCTATTAACTGGTCTAAATAGGGCCAGCCCTGTGGTTTAACCTATGTTTAAACAGTGTAGGTAATAGGTTACCAAATTAGTATTTGGATTATTTAAAAATATTTTCTGAACTTTTTTCCCCTTGTGACATACTTAGTATTAATTGTTGGTCAAGGCAGATGTAGAAATTTTCTATATGCAATGTTTCTCTTTGAATTTTTATTGCTAACATGATTTCCTTTGGTGGAGTGCTAATTTCTTATCGTTGTTTCACCTAGATACTGAAGAGTAGACTACAAAAAACACACTTTTCAATCTTTTAGGCTCATGATCTTAGAGAACAAATCATTGTCCCAAAAATGAAAAGAAAGCAGACAAAGATGAGAAACATAAAATGTGCCAAAGATGTCAGAGCAATTGGAAAAGAAGACTCCTAATATGCGGACAAATAAAAATAGCAATAGATATTTGCAAAGAGAGCCGGCCCCGTGACTTAGCGGTTGGGTGTGCGCGCTCAGCTGCTGGCGGCCCAGGTTCGGATCCCAGGCGTGCACTGACGCACCGCTTCTCCGGCCATGCTGAGGCCGTGTCCCACATACAGCAACTAGAAGGATGTGCAACTATGACGTACAACTATCTACTGGGGCTTTGGGGGAAAAAAAAGGAGGAGGATTGGCAATAGATGTTAGCTCAGACCTGGTCTTCCTCAGCAAAAAGAGGGATTAGCATGGATGTTAGCTCAGGGCTGATCTTCCTCACAAAAAAAAAAAAAAAGATATTTACAAAGAAACAAAGTAGAGATTCACCAGTAAAGGAGGATTCTAGGAAGACCATGAGTGATATTCTAGGAAATATTGAAGTAAATATAAAATTCAGAATAATAAATCATTATTTATTAAATAATAAATCATATATTTATATATATACCTGCATTCAGGTTAATGCATGTCTTAAATCAGAATCTCTCAAATGGATTGATTGTAGAGAAAATATAGGAGAGGACTTTTCTCCTTAAATTTTAAATATATAAAACATCTTAATGCTCAGAGAAAAAAAGTATGTTTACTAATTTATGTAATCAATCAAATATAGAAGTATGTAATCCTATGGATTTGTTTTGACATTGATTTGATGTCAAAAATTTAAGCCTTTTATGGTTGAGTAAAATTGGAAAGGCTTAATAATAATAGTTTAATATAATAATAGTATAATAGTTTTGTAACTAAGGAAACCACTTAAAATCCAGATGAACACTTTGACCAGGGTAATCACTTGAATGGAAGACTTTCCTTTTTTAATGTGATGTAATTTACATATCACATAGTTCACCCATTTAAAGTATACAGTTTGGTGGGTTTTAGTGTATTCATAGGGTTGTGGAACCATCTCCACAATCTAATTTTAGAACATTTTGATCCCCCCAAAAAGAAAACCTGTACTCAGCAGTTACTCCTTATTCCTCCCACTGCAGTCTTAGGCAATCATTAATCTACTTCTGTCTCTGCCGATTTGCCTATTCTGAACATGTCATAGAAATAGAATCACATGTTATGTGGTCTTTTATGCCTGGCTTCTTTTGCTAAGCATAATATTTCAAGATTTCATCCAGGTAGGAATTTTCTTTTAAGATGAAAATGAAAGTTTGCCTTTACAAAAACACCTTGGGATACAAATTCCTTTGCAGTTTGACACTCAAAAGATAACTTAGTTAATGAGATCATCTTTATGTTTTTTTTTTTTTAACAGATCAGCTCTGAAATTTAAAGACAATGGAGAAAACTCAAGAAACGGTCCAAAGAATTCTTCTAGAACCCTACAAGTACTTACTTCAGTTACCAGGTAACAGTTCAGTTATGGTCCCTATGGGGTGGTTTTTATAGAGTAGTGGTCATTCAAATGTTAGCAGACAGAAAAGGTTAGACTTGCCACTCTTGAGATTTTTTGTTTAAGGTGATACATATGAGAAAAATGATAAATAGAGCTTTATAGTTTTTTGTTCTTAAAAGGGAAATTTTTGAGACACCCTTTTAAAAATATCCAATTATATAACATACCTAAAAAAATAAAAATACTTAAAACATTTGAGTATCTCATTGGAGGTTTTATTATTATTATTATTTTTTGTGTGTGTGAGGAAGATGAGCCCTGAGCTAACATCTGTGCTAATCCTCCTCTTTTGGCTGAGGAAGACCGGCTCTGAGCTAACATCTATTGCCAATCCTCCTCCTCCCTCCCCCCCAAAGCCCCAGTAGATAGTTGTATGTCATAGTTGCACATCCTTCTAGTTGCTGCATGTGGGTCGCGGCCTCAGCATGGCCGGAGAAGCAGTGCGTCGGTGCGCGCCTGGGATTCGAACCTGGGCCACCAGTAGCGGAGCGCGCCGCACTTAACGGCTAAGCCATGGGGCCAGCCCGGAGGTTTTATTCTTTATGGATGCCACACATTCCTATTCCCTACTGTTTAGCTGTTAGGAGAAGTTATGACAATTTGTGCAACAACAGAAAGATTCACTTACCTTCCAAGTTTAAGTTTTACCTTCGATGTTCATGTTTTCTGCTATCACACACTCACTGCATTTCTTACACTACTAGTTCCTCTAAGAGCCAAATAATAATGCGTCTTAATCACATTACTTAGAAGCATAGCCCACATTATTTCTGTATAAGGATGGATCACCTGGACATGGCTTCCTTACAGTAATACCTGCCTAATCATGTGTATGTGCATGTTTTGTTTCATTTTGCTATTTTTTTAACTTTGGAAAATGATAATAGCAAGTAAAAACTTACACATATTAGTGTGGGTTCTTGTAACAAAAATTCACTAATAAACCAGTTACTTGGAATGCTCTTTGTCATAGAAGTAATATAAAAGGAGATAAGTTGACAACCATAAAAACATATTAAGCCCATAATGTGGCTAAATTATAGTCTAATGATGTTCTCAACTCAACCACAACAAACACTTTTTTATTTCCATTCTAAAGTGCACAATTTTCTTTATGAGCACACCTCGGTGGTAATGTGTGCAATTCTATTCTTCATGAGCCTAGGGAGGATAAATATGGTTATCAAAAGCCAGAAGAGTGGTAGCTCCCTAGCTTACACCTTGGAAACCATCATGATTAGTGTCATTTCTATTCTGGCAGACCCTAATGGAGACATACCTACTAATGTCAGTGCTTCAAAAGAATGGAGGGAAGACAGAAATGGAGAATGCAAAGGGAAAGTTGCCTGCTGTTTAAAAAGCTGAGAGACTGCTTTTGAGTGACATTTTTCAGCAGCTAGTAACTTCACTTATTTTGGAGTCTCCCGTTAGAGAAACATAGCACTGTGTCTCCTGCACTGTAACCTCCTATTGCTGACTTCTTTTATAACAGGTTGGCAAACACTGGCTGGAACTGGGCTGCCATAAAACATTGCCAGTTGTCAGCGCTGACAAGAGTCTAATGAGTGTCTTCCACTCCCCACTACTGTGCAAGGCAAGGACTGCCTGTGGTTACATTTTAACCATGATGCTTGCCTATGTAATGAACTTCTCCTGTAACATTTTTTTAATCCTCATTATCTGGAAATTGTATTTTAAGCCATTAGATAACGTATTTAAATCTCCCATTAGGTATCTCATCTTTTTTTTTTTTTTTTTTTAATATTTTTTATTTTATTTATTTATTTTTTTCCCCCAAAGCCCCAGTAGATAGTTGTATGTCATAGCTGCACATCTTCTAGTTGCTGTATGTGGGACTCGGCCTCAGCATGGCCGGAGAAGCAGTGCGTTGGTGCGCGCCTGGGATCCGAACCCGGGCCCCCAGCAGCAGAGCGCGCGCGCACTTAACCGCTAAGCCACGGGGCTGGCCCCTTTTTTTTTAAATTAGAAGGGTTTTTTTATTTTTTAATTTTTTATTTATTTATTTTTCCACCAAAGCCCCAGTATATAGTTGTATGTCATAGCTGCACATCCTTCTACTTGCTGTATGTGGGACGCGGCCTCAGCATGGCTGGAGAAGCGGTGCGTTGGTGCGCGCCCGGGATCCGAACCCCGGGCTGCCAGCAGCAGAGCGCGTGCATTTAACCGCTAAGCCACGGGGCCGGCCCTTCTCATCTTTTTTAAATCAAATATATTCTTGCATCCATGATAGAATATAACCTCAAAAGATTTTCCTAAAGAGATAGGAAATTGCATTTATATGTAATAAACTTGTTTTTCATAGAGAGCTTCAAAGTTACTAAAGTGACTTAAAGGTGGGCCAGACCGTTTTTTCTGTTGTAAAGTTACTCTTGCTAATAAAAGACTATAATAATTAATATTACTGATATTAGGATTTTCAGAAGTTAGTGAAGTAGAGTGACTTTTATGTTTGTTTATTTGCCCTAGTGCAGGTCCCCAGACCTTGGCAATAGGAGGGGAGGGGGGTTTGGGAGTGGAGGAAGAAGAGGAGGTGCAGAAAAGGAATCAGCAATGTTAAGTAAGGTCCTAAAGAGGGAACAGTAATTATTGTTTGTTTTAATTTTGAGAGATCTCTGTTGTTAGGAACTCTTTGGGGATTTAAAAGTATGAAGCCAGACCCTAGAATCTGGTCAAAGGAAAAAAATATTAAAACAAACCACAGTACCTGTAAGTTAAGCCATTTATTGTACTATTTTCTACATACATTCTGAAGTGAGAGGAAAAATATGGTCCACATTGTTTCTCTGTGTTCTTCATCTTCTAAACTTGTTTTTTTCTGTGTGTGTGTGTGTGTGTGTGAGGAGATCAGCCCTGTGCTAACATCTGCCAATCCTCCTCTTTTTTTGCTGAGAAATACTGGCCCTGGGCTAACATCCATGCCCATCTTCCTCCCCTTATATGGCATGCTGCCACAGCATGGGTTGCCAAGCAGTGCGTCAGTGCGCACCCAGGATCCGAACCGGTGAACCGCGGAGCGCACGTACTTCACCACTTGTGCCACTGGGCCGGCCCCTAAACTTGTTTTTTAAAGTAATATAGGTTGCTTTGCACAGTTATGGATTGTAGGTATAGCCCAGATTGACATTTGTTCAACTGGAAAGTAGATAAGAAGTATAAAGTATATAGTTGCTACCCAGACCATCTTCATCTTAAGGATTAGTAGACAGAAGATACTGCTGCTCGAATCCTAAGTGATCCTTCCCTTTTAGAATTCTCACCGTGGGCCGGCCCCGTGGCTTAGCGGTTAAGTGCGTGCGCTTCGCTGCCGGCGGCCCGGGTTCGGATCCCGGGTGCGCACTGAGGCACCACTCCTCCAGCCATGCTGAGGCCGCGTCCCACATACAGCAACTAGAAGGATGTGCAGCTATGACAGACAACTATGTACTGGGGCTTTGGGGGAAAAATAAATAAATAAAATCTTTAAAAAAAAAAAAAAAAAAAAAGAATTCTCACCGAAAGTGAAACTTTGTCCCATTTGGATGTATGATGAGAGTTTGTGTATTCATTTATTTGGGTATTGGTGCAGAGAAAACACCTGGTAGGGCTTAGAGAATAAAAATACTGTTTTGGGGGCCGGCCCTGTGGCGTAGTGGTTAAAGTGCGTGCACTCTGCTGCTGGCGGCCTGGGTTCGGATCCCGGGTGCACACCGACATACCGCTTGTCAGGCCATCCTGTGGCAGCGTCCCATATCAAGTGGAGGAAGACGGGCACAGATGTTAGACCAGGGCCAGTCTTCCTCAGCAAAAAGAGGAGGATTGGCATGGATGTTAGCTCAGGGCTGATGTTCCTCACAAAATAAAAAAAAAAAAAATACTGTTTTTGTTTACTGAAACTTTTTCTGTAACTATTTTTCTGAAACCTGACCTGAAGGACCGGCCCGGTGGCGCAAGCGGTTAAGTGCGCTTCGCTGCGGCAGCCCGGGGTTCGCCAGTTCGGATCCCGCATGCCCCGACACACCGCTTGTTAAGCCATGTTGTGGCTGTGTCCCATATAAAGTGGAGGAAGATGGGCATAGATGTTAGCTCAGGGCCGATCGTCCTCACAAAAAAAAAAAACTTGATCTGAAATTAGGATGTTACTGTGCATTCACTTTAGCAGGAAGCTCATAGAACATTTTTATAAATGAACTGGTTGTGGTTTTTATCTACCATTCCTTTTTATTGCGCTAAAACAACTTCTAATGGTAACTACTACCCAAAGACCTCTCTTAACCTTTCCATGTAAGAAAAAGATAATATTGAAAACCTGATGGCCCTAGACAAAATAAAGAGATTAACTTTTGACTAAACTTGGAATGTTAAAAGAGAATACTTCAGGGTATGTTAATCTCGCTTTTTGATAGGAAAGAAGCAGCCCTGTCCAGTCTCTAAAACCTTAATTTAAAGGAATGGTAGATAATTTTTTTTTTTTTGTGAGGAGGTCAGCCCTGTGCTAACATCTGCCAATGCTCCTCTTTTTTTTTTTTTTTT